ATATAGGCCTACAAGAGTCAATAGTCAAATTAAAATTGGTAAATAAATAATAACTTATTATAGCAAAATTTTCAACTTGTTAAATAGTTTATTCTTGATTGATATTATTTATATATTATTTGATTTGTTTTTTCATCTTTCCTTAGTTGTGTTTGCTATTGTTTTAAGCGTTAAAAATTTTTTTGTATCAATGTGTTTAAAATTCCTGTGTTGTTGTTGTTCTTGCAGTGCGTATTAATATTAATTTCTTCTTTCACATTCAATCTTTCTCTATTTCGTAGATTATGTAATCTTCAAAATTGGTAATTTTTCTATATTTAAGAGATGTTTTGCAAAATTGTATTTCATAGATGTCTTGTTTTCGAATTGTATCCTGGAATGTGTTCGTTATTGAATATGACTTTTAAATTTCAATTTGTTTGCCCAATGTAGTTGTCACAGTAAGTACATTTAACTGTTTTTATATTTCCGATTTGTTGCATATTATTGTTGTAGGTTTGTTGTTATTGTCTATAATATTAAAAAGTTATTTTTGTTCAGTAGCTTAGTTTGATTGGAGTGTGTTTGAATGTGTTACTTATTGCTTTGTTTACGTTTAGTTAGGTTTTACGGAATGCCTATACATTTCATTTATTCTTTTTGTCTAGAATTGTCTTTAAATTTGGTTTCAATAACTAAATTTTAGTGTGTCCGAACTATACCTATAATAATTCTTTTGAGATTGGCGTAATTAACATGTCGAAATAGTTGTTATTTTCGCGATCAGGAGGCGTAAAATTTTATTTCATATGATATAAACTAATTTAACTAATTCTATTACTTTATAATATTGGAAATTTCACTTGTAAACTTTTATTTAATGCTTTTACATTTTACCTTTGCTTCTTTAGTTAAAATATAAGTGGACGATTTCTTGGCGAACGAAAATAACGGTTTTAGGATTTATTTGTGTAAATAACTATTATGTACGTAAGTAATTATGTAAATGTGAATAACTATGTTAAAGTAAGGTCATATTAATTTTTGATAATTATGTTTTATTGCACACTTTTAAATTAGATGGTTGTCATTATTTAAGCGATTAAATGTTTATTGTTTGTAATAAAAACATTTTTCGTAATCGATAAATTGTGTCTCTTTGTGATATTGTTTAACTGTTAAGTCCAATAATTAACCATAACCGAGCACTTATCGGCCCCGTTATTGTAATAACATAATACGTCATATTAAAGTATATACTTTCATTATTCAATAGCAAATGTCGTGGTTACTGTATAAGTTAGCGTGTCGGTAACGCAGTGCGGTTTGAGACAACGTACTGCGTTTAACCCACGACAGTGCTGCGAGCCGCGGATGGCCCGCGCAATACATCGTGCAGGCCCATCTAAAAACTCCCACGGTTTTATACACGCGGCTGCCTATCTCATTATATTACTTCATCTATGATAATAGCATTAGAAGCCATTTGCTACTGATTTTTGTTTACTTCAATACACAGCTGATTGTGATTTATCATCAAGCCAGTAAGCAATATTACATTTGGATTAAACTCATTTGCCAGTAAATTCTGCAATGTACTATATACTATTAAAAACCAGGGATAACATTATCTATAATTGAGACTTTTTCGTTATGTCTTAGAATGTTAAAATTAATTTTATTGTGCAATTTGCAAATTTTAGTATTTTTATGTAAATTAGCCAAGCGCATGATAAGTACCTAGAAAAATCATGGGAGATGGCTAAAATCAAAGGAATTGGACTTTGAATGGCTGAAAAAATTATTAAGTTTAACCATTTTAACAGAAAATTTTTCTAAAAGTAAAATAATTTGTATATTCTATTCTTGATTGAAACACTTCAGTTTTACATGTTTACAAAATTATTTTACTTTGTTTACATTTCTTCACATTTAAAGGTTATTGTTGAAGAAATGTTTATCATGAAATGGCCCCATTGACTAAATAATCAACGATGAAATAGCCAAGAGCCCATGCATGCCAGACCTTCATTATTTTATAAAAGCTGAAAGTTTCTCAGCACATGCTCGCAATTCAGTTAGAATGATCAGTGACTATGAAATTTGGATCTTGGTTAACGCAAGAAGAAATATAAAGAAATACTTTATTATGGTCTAAACAACAAACACGCTGAACATTTAAATAGGCTTATTTGATATTTGAATGTACTGTATAAACCCAGGGATAACGTTACCTATAATAATTAAGACTTTATAGTTACGTCTTAGAAAATTTAAATCTATTGTTTAACTGTGCAAGTTGCAAACTTGTGTATTAGTGAATAAGCGTATGAAAAGTAGTACAATCATAGGAGATGGCTCAAGTCAAAGGAATTGAACTTAGAATGGCTGAAAAAATGACAATTAATGAGTTTTTTCTTCAAATTTAAAGGTTATTATTATTTAAGGTTGCAAGAATGTTTAACATGAAACAACCTCATTGACTAAATGATAAACGATTCAATATTAAATGAACAACTTCTGCTTTGTTTTTGTTTTTTTCAAAACATATAACTTAATAATGTGTTAAGATAAACGCTACACACTTTTTTTGTAAATTCTCTGACATTTATATTTGATATTTATTGTAGTATTAAATCTATATTTTTGTATGAAGTGGATTAACCTCAGCGGCCACTCTTAGAAAACAATTTGGGAATAAAGATGAAATAGGTTCGTACAGGTCTTTGTTCATTAAGTAAGTACTATGGCAAGTTCCAATGGGCGGAAAAACAAAATTGTTTGGAGGAGATTTTAACCAAGTTGCTCCAAGCAAAAAGGGATTCAAATAATATAGCCTAACACATGCACGGTAGTAAAGGGATCATCCATATATAACAGTAAAACCTAGAGGTAGTTTCTGTTTCATTACGTTTCTAACCAAAAATATGCATGTCCAAGATGCTGATGAAAAGTAATTTTGTCATTGATTATGATAACTGAGTAATGGATCCCTATCAAGTCGCAGAATAGTTAGTAATCAGACGTTGATTAGGCTCTTTTTTATATAGAATGTGTAACCAATCGCACCTTTAGGAGGATTACCACCACATAAACTTACACTAGGCTAATAGCAGTCCTTCCAATGTTGATCAGAAACAAATCTAGGGTTAAGTTTGGTCTATTGGAATCTTAGAAATAAAAACTGGGTCGGGGTGCTAATTTAGCGGTTTTTACTAAGAACTAAGCTTATCTCAACATAACTTTATTTGCCTATTCATATTTGACAAAGACAAAATTTCCAATAATTCAATCAGGAAAGCATTTTTATCATCATTAACCAAAAGACCAAAGCTACCTTAGTATACCAATATTTATTCACAAATATGTTTGCTGCCTTTAGCAGAGTTAAACCTCTGGAGTCATTCAAATTATTTATTGAAAATAACACCAAAAAAAGGAACAAACTGTTTTTTTTACACAAAATATATGTTGTACTGATCTATCCTGACACATAGATAATTTGATTCTGAGTTTGTTTAGATATAACAATAATTTGTTTTACATTTGAACTTTTTAGGGATTTATGTCCCTACAAGCCACTAGTTTAATTTAAAGATCTAATTGATTTTGCATCAGATTTTAGAATTTGATTTGGAGAATTCTTTTCATTGCCAATTACTATTATATGATCAACCACTGGAGTTGAAACAAATAAATAAAAAAACACACAATAGAGTCTATTAAAGACTAAGTAAGAGTCATGGTTAGGTAGTATGAATCATACTACCTAATGAATCATACATAATTGTTATGTATCAACAAAGCATTTTTCCACATGAATGCATACATGTACAAGCCAGGTAATGGATGGGCATTGTAATGCTAATGAGACGTTGTAGACAAGACTAAGTGTTCTCAATTTCCTGTTTTATAGCTCCAATGTCTATTTTTATCCATCCTAACCATACCCTCCCCCATCCATCTCCATACTCTACTTTTATTTGCCACCCCTTCTATTAATTTTAGGTATGTCATTTTTAATTTAAATAAAAAGCATAAGTTTTTTTTGGTAAGGCCTTAATTAATTTTTTTTTTATCTTTTGCTATAAATTTGTCAATTTTGTACGATAAAATAATAGGAAAACACTATAAATTATTAACTTTATTTCTATTTCAGAGCCTTCTATATAATAAGCAAAATATAATATAATAAAATATTTAAATAGATTAACTAAAAGTAACCTTATTTTTATATCTGTTTGAACACATGCCTCGTATAAAAAAATGTTGATCAGAAATAATACGTAATAGATGAGTTAAAAGAAAATGTTTATTTTGAGGAAGGATGTATTTTTCCCAAGTCACTTTATTTACATTTATCCATGCTAAAACTTGTATACAGTACACTCCCTATTATCCGGATTCCTCGGAACCGAGGCCAGTCCGGATAACGGTTTTTCCGGTTAAAATGATGTCCCCAAAAACTTGTTCAAACAGACTGTTTAAATGTATACTGTATACCGTATTTGACATAAATTTAGGAGAGCATTGTATTTAGCTATTTAGCTACATGATCACTCTCAAATCTTTCCCACATAACAGTCGTTTCAGTACCGCCCACTTCCTGCCGATCTAGTCCGGTTAAACCGATGAGCTGATAAAAATTTTCCGGTTAAAGAGATGTAATTTCCACCGAGTGTAAGTTTAACATAAATGCTCTTATATCCATTTATAAAAATATTAATATAAAAAAAAAAACTTTTAATCATTGGAAAAATCTGAAATCATATTTTTGAAGATAAAAAGTATGCTCTATAACATGGGCTAACCCCATGTAAAATTTTTAAATTTTTTGATCCATGGCCCCCTTATCATTTAGGTGTATGTAATTTGTTGTTGTATAGTCATACACACAAATTACCGTGTGCCACCATCCTCATGCTAATAGATAATTGATTTGAGTGCAACAAGAATACCGTTAAACTGCACTCACCGGGTCTTGCCTGCTGTTTTATATATTTTTGTTACTTTCTTTGCAGGAAACACATTAGAGTCACTAAAGCAAGCTATTTCAGTCCACAAGTCTCTCGTAAGGATTGAAGGAGAAAACATCCATCTTGTCTCTGTACATTCACCACATTACAAGATTGACCCTGGTCGGATTAAAGGTATTCTTATCACTTGACTACCAGTAGTACTATGTAGGCTACGAATTTATTGTGTTATTTTTGTGGATATTACTAACTAAAATTTACTATTGGATGTTTCGTATGAATCATGAATCATGTGGGATTACACAAGCCCATAACTGAAGCGGTGGCTTAGTGGGCTCTTCCCTTGCTTTGCTAGATACTGTCCACGAACAGGCCTCTGTGGACAAGCAAATGCAAGGTAAAGTGGCCATCAATAGCTTTGATTAATAATAGGATGAGGAATAAGAGTTTTTAACCCCCCCCCCCCCCCCCCAACCTCATTATCTTATTTGTTAGGTTTGTTTGGTACTGCATTGATCAAAGAATGTCTTTCTATTAGATTCATTGTCAAATGTTATATTTGCTACTTTTTTCATTTATGCTAAAAAAAGAACAAAAATAGTTCAGTTTCAGTTATTGGTTTCTGAATCAAGACACTCTAAATAAATATTAAGTTTAGGGATTTGTCAGTTCTTGACACCATTGATTTTTGGACATTGGTATCGGTATTGAGAATCAATTGTCAAGGGTTGATGCCGGTACGATGCGATCCACTGCAAAGGTGACTGATTTCATGCTCACGCAATGGCATGTGATGTTCAAGGTTTTGCCGTGATCGTGGGAGATTATGGTGATGTCACCATGACTGCAGAAGATGTTCACGAGTTTGCCGTGATTTATTTATTTATTTATTAAACATCATAACATTACATCAATTCTCTTGACAGGTGATTTGTCACAAAGTCTAATACTAATACTATACTACATTTTAAAATAAAATAGCTTACAAAAGAAATAAAGCATATAATAAGCTACAAACCTATGGGAGAAGCAATATCTTTCAAATATACTCATTTTCCAGATATTCCTCTAACGAGTAAATTGCCCTCTCCAAAAGGAAATTTTTTAAAGATAGTTTAAATTTAGAGAATGAGGCAATGTTTTTAATCCCAGCGGGTAATTTATTGTAAATTTTTGGTCCCATATACTGAGGGGATAAATGAAAGATTTTAAGCCTATGTTGAACTGGTTTTATAATATTTTTGAATCTTGTGTTATGTGGATGAGATTGTTGACAGTCCATGAATGTGTCGAAATCACTTTTAACCATTAATGCCAATTTGTAAATATAAGAGCTAAAAAAAGTTAAAATTTTAAAATTAATAAATAAATCTTTACAATGTGTTCTACGGGAGACTCTGGCCATTAATCTTACTCTTTTTTGGAGAATAAATATTTTTTTGGCCTGGCTTGATGAGCCCCATACAGTAATTCCATAATTCATAATCGATGAAAAATATGCGTGATATACTATTATTTGTGTTTCTAGATTAGTAGTATCCCGAATTATTGTGAGAACAAATGTTGCTGAGCGTAGTCTTTTTGATAGGTTTTTAATGTGTTTTTGCCAATTTAGTTGTGAATCATATAATAAGCTACAAACCTATGGGAGAAGCAATATCTTTCAAATATACTTTTTAATGTGTTTAATGTGTTTTAACGTTTTTAATGTGTTTTTGCCAATTTAGTTGTGAATCGATTTCTATTCCCAAATAATTTATTGACTGTTGTGAATGAATTGTAGTTAAGTTTGTATTTACAATTATTTCTTGGTTAATATTGGATGCAGAAAACTGAATTAGTTGAGTTTTTGACACATTCATAGACAGGCCATTTACTGCAAACCAATCCCCAAGGAGTTGAAATTCCTTAGTTATTGAGGCTTGAATGAACTCATTGTTTTGTCCTGTGCAAATTAAAGCGGTATCATCTGCGTATTGAAAGGTGGACATCTTAGTAGCATTGCATAGATCATTAACATAAATAAACAAGGGCCGAGAATGGAGCCCTGAGGAACTCCATTGGGGTTAATGTTCCACTCTGATTTATAATTTCTCTGCATCTATAATATTAAAACGAAACAGTGTTTTTTTTATTTCACGATTCTGAATCAACCACTCGACAGATTTTCATGATTTTTGTGTTGAAAGAAAGATAATTTTGAGAACTAGGGAATGTTGAAGCCATAATTTTAGTTTAGGGCCCCAGTTTTTTTTAAAATTAAGCTTTAATTTTTAAAAAGTCTAGCAGCCGACGCTAAGATTCTAAACTAGCTTTTGGCATAAAATAATTTGCTTAACATAACAGCTGTAAACATTCAGCGATGGAACACAAATTCAGCATTTGGAACAAATTAAAAGACATACTAAGGGTTGACTTATTTATACTATGTGTAATGCTAATCATTGATAGGTTCAATCCTTCGATAAGAGGATGACGGATTATTTAAATATTCATAGTAAAATACTAGGATGTTCAAATTATTTTTTTAAGTAATCTTTGTAATCTTTGGTTTGTTTTAGTGCAATATAATTTGTTTTAACTAACAGCTGGTTAATTATAAAAATGCCCTGTAGAGCTATGAGGTTATTTACTCTGATTTTGTCATTGATTATAGGAAATAAGTAAGATTAGTAGACCACCGAGATAAGTAACACCATCGATGTGTACAAGTCGAGGCTCTGTACACGAGTTTAAAAAAATATATGCAAATAATTTTACTGCTCAACTTTTATGGAAAGGGTAGGAAAATCACAATTTTTACAAGATTTAATTCATCTCGGCAGCTTTTTTTTACAATCAATGTTTTTGAATGCTTGAACTTTGTTTGGATTAGGCCCGAAAATATTGATGTCATAAAGATGGAGATCAAGAATCCTCAGGAATACGATTTTAAATTACCACCACAACCTCAGACGGGTTTCATCATAAGATATAAAGATGAATGACATTTTGAACACAACGCCATCATTGGCCTAGGATACTGCAATTAGACTAACCATCCTTTTATGAAATCTAAAAAGTTGTTTGACGTGTGTTTAGTTGTGGTTACGTTTGGAGGCGCTGAATATTTTGTAGTTTAAATAAATGAATATGGGAAATTACGATGTACATTGATTCAATGAGGGTGGTTTAGTTATCAAGGATATTAAAACTGATAACGGAATGGATAATAAACATAGACAATTAATTACGTCACTAGCTTTACTAGCGTTTTACTATTTAAATTCCTTCAACATGTGACCAGTTCTTTTGTTGAAATGAATATTATTTTATTTTTGACTCAGCTGTTTAAAAAACAAACTAATATGTTGTTGTGTTTACTTTTCTTTGTTTACACTTATTTATTTGAAATTGACATAAAGGATATGTGTGGACGATTTGTTTAATGATGTCAGGACACCAACGTTATAATTATGTGTACTGTGAATTTTATTGGATGTTTTCGTTTTATTTTAGGGAGTTTCAATTCAGACCTACTGGAAATTGTGTATAGTATGAGTAATTGTATTGTGGTGATATTGATTATGGAAGAGCCAGGTATGCGATGGAAGGTGATATCATTGACTAGGCCTATACACTTCTCAATTGATAATTACTCTTTCTACTGTAGGGTGTAATAAAATTTGTCTTTATAAGTGTAAACTAGCTGTTCTGAATTATAGGCATACACCGTTTTAACAGACTACTCCCGTACGTAGGACGGGCTAACACCTCGTTTTTTGTAAAATAAGTCTTTGTTTTCGGGTCTTTAAATATGATATGAACCATTTTAATTCAGTATTTTTTATTCCATGCATACTTAATTTTTCTATGAGAATCTCATGATTCACACAGTCAAAAGCCTTGGATAGGTCACATAGCACACCCACAGTCTTCTGCGATCCATCCAAGGCTTCTGCAATGTAGTTAATCATTTTTGTTATGGATTTTTCAGTACCGAGTTCTGGGCGGAAACCAAACTGTGAAGGATTTATTAAATTATTGCTTTCTAAATATTCTGTTAGTTGAATCTTTACAATTTTTTCAAATATCTTTGAAAAACAAGGCAGAAGGGCGATGGGGCGGTAGTTAGAGGGATCGTTGACATCGCCCTCTTTGAACAGAGGTTTAATCTCAGCCAACTTTAGCTTATCAGGAAAACCCCCCCCCCCCTCAAGGGACTGATTCACTATTTGGCATAATGGATGTTCTATAAATTTAAAAACTCTAAAATCTCTAATCTCTGATAATACGTTCACAATTTTTCCGAACCATTGGAAAATTTTCAATTTCGCTTTGACTGTGGAAGATGTTTACAATTTTTGTGTGAGCACAGAAAACATTCTTGTATTGGCGTATTGCCCCTACCACCAAAACTTTCCATATCTCACTGTGACCTCGTACGATGGTCACAATTTTGCCACGACTAAAAGATGTTCTTGATAATATAGCGACCGTTTAAGATATTCATGGTTTTGCCCTATGGAATAAGTTTTTATCATTGACTTGTCATTTATTATACTTTTTTATATCCCTGGTGTAGAGTGAAGGGTAGAGTAGTATGTGTCTATGTCTGACTGTGTGGTATTGATTGCAGGACACAGGCTGGGCCAGGAGACTATGTGTGCAGCAGTCCCTCTCCTTATGTTACAGCAGTATGTCAACTCTTGCATGCACTTCATTGTTGGACCCGCTATCTATCTGACTGTGTGGTATTGATTGCAGGACACAGGCTGGGCCAGGAGACTATGTGTGCAGCAGTCCCTCTCCTTATGTTACAGCAGTATGTCAACTCTTGCATGCACTTCATTGTTGGACCCGCTATCTATCTGACTGTGTGGTATTGATTGCAGGACACAGGCTGGGCCAGGAGACTATGTGTGCAGCAGTCCCTCTCCTTATGTTACAGCAGTATGTCAACTCTTGCATGCACTTCATTGTTGGACCCGCTATCATCACCGTGGTGATGCAACACATGGGCGAGTCTGGCTACATTACTAAGCGTAAGTTCTTATTAACCCTTGCTTCCTGGCTAAGTACTGGGGAAAAACCGATCAGTTGCCATTTTCATCAGTTTGGTTACAGATCAGTTTTTATTTTGTCGAGTCTTCGGTATTTTTGGGAATTACCACCCAGTTATATTTTGACCAGACGAGTGATAATTTGTATATTTAAGTACTGTTGTCTATTGGTTTTGCTTAATTTTAATAAAACCGTGTTTAAAAGTTTTACAAGAGGGTTGAAGAAGTGCTCAGTATGTTTTTGGTACTAAACTCATAATCTTTGCTACCTGTGAGTTATGTAAGATTCTGGGTAGTCTCAGTCCCAACAACTTTGGTTAATCAGGAGGGTACTGTATTTGCATTGGCTATTCCATTTTAATTAGGCCTAATTAATTTATTCTACTTTATTCATCTGCCTTTTAGGTCAACTATTTGAAAAGTACCAGTTTCTGAGAAGACTACTTTCACAAGAGTTTGTTCTTTTCAAGGAGTGGGAAGTAAAGGTAATAATCTTACTTATTGTTTTTTTAAACTTTAATTTAGATCTTGTTAAAACAACTAAAGTAAAACACATGAAAGTGGTCCAAAGAAATATGATGTATAATGATCATGGACTAGAGTTCCTAGTATAAGTTATACTACTTATTTACATGTAAAATGTTACAATGTAATTGGATTTTATATCTGTTTAGTAGCATTTAGTGTGTTGACAGGAGTTTGAGGAGGCTCTACAGAGGCTTGAGCTGGTCAACATCATAGAGAGTGCTGCAGAAGACCAACTGACCCTGGGTAACCACAGGAAGCTGCAGCTCATGTTGTGTAATCTCCTGTACCCCTTCCTCTCCGGGTATCTCTCCATCACCAAGTACCTGCTACAGGTAAACTCTATCAAGGAGTAAGAACTGTAAAGTAAACAATGATAGTCTTGACAAAGTAAAACATGAAATTTTAGTTTGTAATAATCCTAAGCAACATCCTATGGCTGGTCAACCATTCATTAATGGTGTTCTGTCAATCATTTCATGTTGTCACATCAAGTAATAAAATCACAATTGTGTGAAATAATCACAGCACCATATATGGAGAATGGGGATATTGTCTCAATAAGGTTTGATGAGCAACTCGTGAAGTTCACTTGTGGTAGAGCTCAGTGGAAGAGCTCTTTATTTACATTATTATTATTAACACAGCTCAACGAAAAATTGTGCAAAGTATTATAATACACTCTTTTTTTTATTTTGTCATATTTTCATTTCCTTGTTGTAAATTTGCAAAACTTTTGTTTTACTTTAGTAACCAGTGGACACATATTTTTCAGATGAAGCCTGAAATGTTGAACGAGAAAGTGTTGGTCCAAGGGTGTCAGGGCAAGATAGAGGCAGACCTGCAGGCTGGCCACATCCTTAGTCCGTACTCTCTATCTCTGGACATGATATCTTGCGCTCTCTCTTCCCTCTCACACCTTCAGGCTCTCACCAGGGCTAGGAGGTTAGTAAAAACAAAGCCTAAACTGTCTTATATCATATTGGATGCCCCTTCAGGTTTTAACTGTTTATTCAGATTCCCTTCTATTCATAAAGCAAATTTGTCTTAACGAGTCATCTTAATTGGTTTATTGACCTCTGAACTACTAAGATCATGTACAGTAAAACTTCACCAACTCGACACCCGTTAACAGTCTGTGTTACTCGTAGGTCAATAGCTGACAGGGCACACGTCTAGCTGGCATTGTCTTACTAGTGTGTTTGACTTTTAGGATGGCTAAAGATTGTTTACAAGATTCTTTGAAGATTGTTTAATCAATATTTAAAAAGTACTCATTTTAGTAATAAATTTACTGTATATATATATATGTATATACATAAAAATTAGTCTGTTATGTATTCATTAATTCACTTACTAAAACCTTTTAAAAACTTCAATTTTCTGGATAACTCAACAACTCCCAAACTCGACAACCTCTGGGTCCACAAAATATCGAGTTAGTGAGGTTTACTTTATAATGAGTTTTATATTTAAATTGTTTTTAGTTTTTAAATATTAGGGAACAAGTTTTTAATTGACTGTTATTGAGCCTAACTATTTCATTTTTTTTCTCGGAGTTGAAATTTATCACAAAGTATGCAATATCTCCGCAAAAGGAAATATAATTTATTTTGTCAATTATTCATCACCAAATTAGTTTTAGTCTTAAAACTAGTTTTTAGTTTACTGTTATCGCTAGAAAATTGTGTTTCTTCCTCTCTCATCCTTGTCTTGTTTTCAGAAACGGAGAGGTGAATTACAAAGTCATGTTTGAAAGATTAGATTCCATTGTGAACCAACTAGGTAAGTTTATTAGTATCACCATAAAACAGCTAAAGACAATTTTTTTTGTTAGTTCCGTCCTGTGCCGCTGAGATCAAATCTCGAATCTGAATCTGTACTTAGGATTTGAGATTCTGATTTGTTACTGTAATACTTGACATACTTTACAATGAAATGGCGACCATACAAAGTTTTAAGCCAAGTATGAATGGAGATGATTGTAGGATGAGTGATCTTGTAGTCTTGTTAGTGACTAAGGCCGACTTATTCCTTAGACACAGCTGTTAATTAATAGCCCATACAGCTAATGGCAACTAAGGGACCTACAGTTTATAGTGGAATCCGAACCATATTTTTGCCTTGGTATATATGAATTGGTCTAATTTTCAGGATATCACTGCAAATAGTCGTAGTACTCACATAAATATCTACTGAATACCACTCTCAGTAACAGAAACATCATCATCCCCCTCCGTAATCGTGTTAAATTCATTAACATTTTTCGGCCTTGTAGATATTATCATTGTCTTCCACGATCGAGCAAAATTCATTTCCTGAAGTAGTGTGGACATCATCATTGTCCCGCAGTAGTGGCAAAATTCAGATCATTTCTCGGGGTGGTGTGAACATCATCATCGTCTCCCTCAATCGCGGCAATATCATGAACTCCTTCTTCTTTTAAAGGCAAAATAATTTTGATAGAAAGGGAATTAAAGTGATATAAGTGACCGGACAAAACCGCCTCTTCGATTTTTAGAACATAAGAAAGTGTACAAATCCACCCAACATAGGTTTTTAACCTAAGGTGGTTATTGTTTTTTTTTTCTTTTTTCATGTGTAATTGTATTTTTGTGTTTGTTTGTTGTATGGAAAAAACAATAAAGATTTCTTAAAATTTCAAAGCCAACATTTTTACTTTGGGTTTCAGCATTTTAGAAATTTAGAACAAGTCCAGTGGCCCATGCTAACATTTTGAATTATTTCTAGGCAAGAAGTTAGAAGAAGGTAGATAATTGAGCCAATCATAGCGTGCACTGCTTTTTTACTTTCTGAAATAACTTTCTTTTTACTGTTGTTCTCTTTTCTCCCTTAGTTTTCGATAATTTGAAGGATCAGCTGTTTAGTGAAATATTCATTATGCAGAAAACTGTCACTGAAATGTTTACGTTTTAAGTTATTGACAAAATATTTACTGTTGGTATTACATACTTTTTAGGAACTTGCTAAATTGAGTTTTGTTTTTCTTTTCCTAATTTACAACTACAACTATATATTACAAACCTTTAGGAGTAATCAAGTTTGATTGTAAATATAATCAGTGTGAATTATAAGCTTAGGCTATAAATATTTGAACTAATTTGTTTGACAAACTATTGCTTTATTGCTTAGATTATAGGTTTTTCATGTTGATAGTTAATTTTGACTTATTTTGAATGTATGTTTATCTGTCTGTTTACTACAGTGCTGGTTTTAAAATATCATTTGAACTGATGTTGTACCCATTGGAAGGTGGCATATAGTTGCAGTATTATAACCAGTGTGGAAATTACAGCAGCTCACATTTTCACTTCAAGGCTTTTCTTACAATGTTCTTTTGTTGTTTTTATATTAAAAATCATGGGATTTAAAAAAGTTTATAAACGAGTTTATACCTATCAGTGAAAATAGGTACTACGTGACATTTGTTTATTTACAAAAAGTTTTTTTCACATCAAAATATTTTATGAATTGCTGGTTAGTGTGTGTATGGTCCCTATTTCAATTTAAAGAATTAAAAGTAAAGTATAATCATGTTTTTGCCTGCAGCTCTTGAAAGATCCTAGTTTAATATGAAAACCAGCTGATTTAGTTACATTTTTTACAGTTTTAACTGACTACTTGATCTCCGTACGTAAGACGGTACCACAGCTATTAGTCTCTTAATTTATGATTCCTTTTCAGTTTAATCAAACAAATAATTACTTTCAAGTTGAATGTATTGTCTCAATGTAAGACTTTACCTCTCTCTCTTTTTCTCTCTACCTATAACTAGCTCAGCCCTTCTCTATCTATATCCTATAACTAGCTCAGCCCTTCTCCATCTATATCCTATAACTAGCTCAGCCCTTCTCCATCTATATCCTATAACTAGCTCAGCCCTTCTCCATCTATATCCTATAACTTGCTCAGCCCTTCTCCATCTATATCCTATAACTAGCTCAGCCCTTCTCCATCTATATCCTATAACTAGCTCAGCCCTTCTCCACCTATATCCTATAACTAGCTCAGCCCTTCTCCATCTATATCCTATAACTTGCTCAGCCCTTCTCCATCTATATCCTATAACTTGCTCAGCCCTTCTCCATCTATATCCTATAACTAGCTCAGCCCTTCTCCGCCTATATCCTATAACTAGATCAGCCCTTCTCCTTCTATATCCTATAACTAGCTCAGCCCTTCTCAATCTATATTCTATAACTAGCTCAGCCCTTCTCCATCTATATCCTAAATAACTTCTTGATCAGCATTGTACGTGTTATCAAATTTACGGAAAGTAAATAAAGATACGTCTTATAACACTTAAAACATATATTTACGCTTATACTGTTACTCACAAGATGGTAAATATACAAAAGATGGTAAGTGGTGATCGATTTTGATTGGACACTCCAATCATCATCAGACCCAATAGGCGAATCTAGATCTTAGATCTAGATCTATCTTAGATTATCTTTAGATTATCTTTTTTTTTAGGTTATCTTTTGTATATTTACCGTCTTGTGAGTAACAGTATAAGCGTAAATATATGTTTTAAGTGTTATAAGACGTATCTTTATTTACTTTCCGTATCTATATCCTATTACTAGCTCAGCCCTTCTCCATCTATATCCTATAACTGGCTCAGTATTTTAAAAAGCACCTGGCAATCAATGATTGTTTACTGTAATTGTGTTGTCACAGGTGAGTTAGTGGTGAGGCCTCAGATGGAAACTGACTTCCTACAGCTGAGCTCCAAACACAGTCTGGTCGACCCCACAGCTGTCCGAGCCAAGCTGTAGACACAGTCAAGCGTTACCACTATCAAGGAATAAAGAATATGAAGAAGACGTAAGAGCAAGCTTCCCTCCACACTGTGTGTTGAGTTATGCTCCAAAGTGTTCCAGTTCTTGAGTTTGTCAAGTTAACAAGGTTATGCATCTGTATTGTATAACAGGAAATTACCTAATTGTAAATGTTGCAAACGTTATTAGATATTCTTATAGGCTTGATGTTTTTTTTTCTATTATCCAAAATAAAATTGTTTCATGTTTTCAGTGAAAACACTAGAGAGATACCCTAGATGTAGAGGTTTTTAGTTTTAAGTGATGTATAGATTTGCATTTAATGATATTTTGGGAATGTTGAAAATTAATTAAGATAAATATTGTGTTAAAAAAAACGTTTAAGATATACCTTTTGTGCTTTGTGAATGCTTTTTATAATGTATCACCAGAAATAACTGATGTTGAAGTTAAGCATATTTAAAGCAAGTAAAGCACCCAAGAAGCAAAATATTTTAAACTTGTACTCGTAATGTAAAATGTTAACACCACCTACCTATCAATAATATTTAAAATGCTGATCATTTGGTTAGATATATTTTTATAACAATATGCCCCTTGGTAATAAGTAGGTGAATGTTATGGTGGTACAATAAGTACTCAGTAAACAAACACCAGTCTTATATGTTGCTTAAGTGGCTATAACTCACATACACTTCACAACTGACTTAGATAGTTTATAAACTATCAACATATAATATTTGATTTTCTTAAGTATTTAGTGTGAACAGTGTTTTTTAAAAGGCCCTCAAAACATATTTGTATATTTATAAGTGTTCTGTTGGTGTTTACTGACCAACTAACTTAATTAACTAATTACATAATTATCTTTGTGTATTGTGAGAAATGTTATACATTATATAGGGCGAGAACACAAGAAAATAATTGTATAATCGATAAATTATCATAAAAGAGTTTTATTCTTTTTATTAAATCAATAATCATTGTTACTAATGCAATAAGTCTAATTTTTGGCCCCCGTGTTGTGAAAGTAAAACACTATCTAGCAGAAACCAAATCCTTTATTGTAATTAGGCACAACAACCATGCAATAGACTTGTCAATGCACTTTTGCAAGTAAACTAACTCTCCAGATGTAGGTATAAACCAACTTTGATGTCCTTGATTTTTAAGGAAATAATCAAATGTACACAAAAGTAATTAAAAAACTATGTACATTGTATGCATTTCAAATAATATACTGTTTTACGGCCTAATTGACATTGAAGAGGTGCATTTATCATTGTATACTGTACTATTAAAGAAAGATAATTGTTTTGGTTCAAAGTTTGTAGGAATGATCACTTGAATACTTTTCAGTAATCATTTATATGGTTCACATTTTCACTAAACAATAAAATAAAATTTCAGCCACAGCCTTCTGGTAATGGTTGATACAGTAATGTCACTTAATCGTTATATGTGACATCCAATACCTTCTTTTTTGTATTAGTCTTCAGATTTTTGTCTAAAGATAACGATTTTTGGGCAAACAAACTCACCAATGATACCAATCATATTATAAGTAATTGGATTAATCTGTTGAGAATATATTTCCATTTTAGTTTTGTAGAATCTAATTTAGATTTATTCACGTGTTCAAACTAGTAGTTTGCCGTGTGCCATATTTAATATATTCTAAAAACTAATCTTAGATGAAAATACACTTTTTGCAGAATCATTTGTTATCAACTAGTGTAAACATCTAATGAAGTCTCAATGGCTTATTAACAAACTTGGACATAACACTTAAATTCATGATTTATTATTTTTCTCGTATGATAGTTTTATAATAATGATCTCAAGCCCTGATTATTTCAGACTTAAGTATTTTCTTTTAGAGAAGTAGATATTATCGTAAGTCCTAGGTACGAGACCGTTGCACTTTTTAGTTTTTTCATACCTTAGCTGCATTTGTTGTATTAATTGTTGGTCCAGTACTGTACTCATTTAACTTTTCAAACAGTTTTAGAAAATTTGGACAGAAAAAATATGTGTGTAAGAGTAAATAAATAAGCCTCAATATATACAAAAAAATTGAAATTGGAACAAGGTTTAAGTACTTAAATATAAATTAATTAATTACTACTGGAAATGCAAATAAATAATAACATATAAATCTATTGAATCCGTTGGCCAATAATCACTTATAAATTCAAGATCAACAAACTAGTTCCATTACTTTTGTTAAGCTGGATGACTGTATGTCGAGGGTTTGAATGTTGATATTGGTTTTATGTCCGTGGCAGTTTGGTGGGAGAGGCCATCCTATAGTAGATGGTATGTGGCTCATATGGAAGTTAACAGTGGGTGGGTTCTTTGTGATTTTCACCTTTGATAGAGTATTTTGTGAAGTTTGCACTTTATGTTTGTGTCTCTAATAGGAACTTTTTATACAAGAAATTGTATTTCCTGACAAAAAAATAAAAAGAGATTTTGTGTTAGAAAAGGGGGATTGTTTTTGTTAAAATAGGCACAGTTACAGTAAATCAATAAATAATTCCTGGGGTTCATAAGAATATTTGCTTCCCTAGAACAACAATACTGTTAATTTATAAGTGTATCCGTAAAATGACCCTCAATAGAGTTTGACAATTAGTTTTACTCTAAGTCTGCCACTCAAACCTCTGTTTCTAAAAGGAATTAAGGATTCAATTCATCATAAAATATTTTAAAATTCATATTACTATTACTTATAAATACTAATCTAGTCAAACTTTGGTTTTTAACGATTAGTGGTTTGTTTTATCTTCTTTTTAGTTTAATAATACAGGTTTAGAATAATGTGTGGTAAATAAGTTAATGACTGAATTTATTGTGTCCTTACTTTTTTTCTTGGAAGCTTTAGTGAAGTTGTGTATTAGCTATGCCTGATATGTTATTTTTAATGTGTCTACAAATGTATGTTATATTGCCAGTGGCAATGATGTGTTAACGAAACATAAGAAACCATAAATTGCATCCAAGCTGAGTTCATCAGATAAAGCCTGTTGAACATCATTACAAATCATCACATTTTAAAATGGTTTACTGCTTAAAACTTAATTCTAATTATTGCTTAGATCCCAACTGTGTTATTAATAATAGTTTTGTTAGTGTATAGTACCCTGAGCAAATAGTGCTCTACCACTGCTTTGTTTGTTACCAATAAATTTATCTAATTTATTTACTCTTTTAATGATAACCCTAATAACTAACTAAAAAAAGTCTTTGTGTATTTCAAAAGTCTCTAAAATATATCAATTTTCTATTTTAAAATCAACTATAGGTAACTTCCCCCATACCGTAGCTGAAATATGGGTAAGAGGAGCATTCTGGATACCTGAAATTAGAGAGTGTTAACCATTTACAATCAACTGTACTAAAAATGAGCAAAGTAGTATTTATATTCAAGGTAGGGCTATATAATTGGTTACGCCTAAAATGAAAATAAAGAAAGGATTTTGTCAAGCATGCTGTCTGAAATACGCTGGTCCATTTTAATTATTTTACAAAACAGCACTTGTCAATGTATCTCACTTTTCTTTGGCTAAACAAACTTGTTGATTCCACATGTCTAACGACAAATTTTAAAGTAAGTAAATTTGTCTGATGACAGTACCTATATTTGACTATGAGAAACAATAAGATCATTGATAAACAAAATTGAAAGATCAATGTTCTCCTTTTTTAAGGTCTATATAAAAAATGTATGTCTTGAATCATAATATTTGGCAATCTTTTTATATATCCCGTTCAAACAGCACCAATTAAGAAAATCACAATGATATTCTTGATGATGCCGATAAAGCTGCGTTGTCCAAGGCGCGTCTGACGCTCAGCAGAGCGATGATCGCTGAGCGTCGATCGCTTGGAGGCCCGTTGTCCAAGAACGCGTCTATTCAGTTCAACAGTTGGTTGCTGACTGTGTAAAAATTTATTTTGCTCTCACTATTAGCGTTAAGAGCCAAGTGTTGAAGATCCTATTCATCGAAGAGATAGAAAACGAAATTCTGGACCTTTAGTGAACCTCGATTGTGTACCCACCGTGTTTTCAAAAAGAGAAGTGAGGAAGGATATTTTAGAATACCTATCAAAAACCACTTTAATGCAGACAAGAGTGCATTAATTGATTTTTTTTTCTTTTAATGGCAACAGTTTAAGTTCCGTTAAATCCTTTAAAGTTTAAGTTGTAATAATTTAATTTAACACTAATTTATTATTATTTTGAAATTTTTCTTTACTTAAATACAGATATCTCCTATTCTAAATAACTCCCAATATGTAATCCATAGCTAAAATAAAAGTCAATACTTTGGTGAATTATTTTAGACTATAACTTTAATTTAATTTTGATTTAATTTTGTGTTTTTGTTCGTAGCGGGTCTCTAACTCGTCTGATTTCAATTATCAATAACTCAGATGGAAGCCCTTACATTACTGAATATTTTAAGGTTGAAACGAACTGCAAGCGTTAATAAGAACTGGAGATATTTAAAAAAATGATAAAAGTACAAAACGTCTATGGGGAGGAGTTTTCGTTTGAATTTCTTTAAAACGAAAAATAAATAAAAACGGATTCCCGCATTGAAATTAGCATGAAAATCTAGTTTTGTAAATTATGTGTCACAAAACAATCATTACATAAAAACAATATGTATATCTAATATGGCGGATCCAAGATGGTGGCCATAAACGTGTTTCCTATCGAAATGAAGTACTAACCACCCAATAAATACTGGTGGTGATCTTAAGTCAATATCTCGAAAATGTGCATAAAAGATGCATGTGGAATCATTTTTTATTATTTTTCCAATGTTGGGAAAAGTCACCATTTTGTATAGGCCTAATGATTTTAGGGGGTTTCTCATGGACCGATTTTTGGCAACCTTTAGTATATCAATCAGCAGAGTCAACACTACAAAATGAAACCCTAAAACATTATCTTGCAATCTTTTTAGGTCATATTCTATATTTCTTTGACTATAGCCATTACATTAAGATACTGTATATTATGGAGTATACGGGTGAACACAGAAACAACAATGCAATAGACGCTGGCCGTCAGCGATCCCGTCTGCTCCCGGAGCAGTGCCCCGCGTCAGACGCTCAGCGTCTCAAGCGTCAGACGCTAGAGACGCTCCCTTGGACAACGGGTCCATTGAAATCAATGCTTAGCAGTCACTGAGCGTCCATCGCTAGCGTCTATTACTCAGCGTCCGACGCAACAGACGCGTTCTTGGACAACGGGCCTTCAGACGCAACAGACGCGTTCTTGGACAACGGGCCATAAAGGGGATAATAATATCAACAATAGAAATCTTAGATCTTCCAAATAATATGCCAAATTCTATGTTTTATACAAACAAGTACTAAAAAAAAAAATGAGTTTGGTTGTAAATCAATGTAGGAATCATCAATCCAACATACAGTATAAACCATATGTCGTGTATCATAACAAACAGGAAATCCCTACAGGAGTATGTTTTATCTATGTCCCTACTTAAGCCGGGTTTTCCTAGACGCGGAAGAGGAGCGTGGAGAGCGGAAACGCGATTTACATGACATTCCGCTCCGCTTCTAGGAAAACAGTAACATTGAGGAGTCCGCTCTCCGGCCCGCGTTCCTCTCTCCACGCTCCGCTTCCGCGCCTAGGAAACCCCAGCTTTACTTAGTATTTTACAATTTGGTGAAGAAACCTAAGTACTCGTTGAATCTAATGTTGTTTAAATGGGGAATAAATGTAACAAATATTACCTGTGTATGGAAATATTTCAGTAAAAATCCAATCATACAAATTAAAATTCGCTAAGTCTGTAAGTTTGCTGCGGCGCGGTGGAGGTATTTTAATTTCGAGCGAGCCACTGACGTAATTTGTTATAGTGTATAGTACAGTATTGCCATAGAACATAGAACACGGTCCCCTTTAACTCCATTGCCCACTTTCTTCCGTGGGGTCCCAGTTTATCGACATCCCAAAAGATCGACACTGAAATAGTCCTACTTTGTCGACAACTCAAAATGTCGACAGTGTCGGTAATATGGGATGTCTGTAAAGTGGGATGTCGGTTATGTGGGATGTCTGTTATGTGGGACGGTTGTGTAAATTTTCCCACTTTATCGACACGCAAAATGTCGACAAGCAAAACAGATCGACAAAGAGCGGGAGATTCAAATTGAAGGTGAACAGCTCTTGCTGAACAGATCGGTTGAGTATAATGAGAGTCGTTCTTTTTTTTTAACTCAGAACGACTTCTATTCACGGCGCTTGCAGCTTGCAGTCTCCTTCAAATTTGTCAATGCTATCTCAACTATCTTGTGTATATAATATGTGTTCTGCCGTTTGAAGGCTTAAAATAATTTGACATTTATTTGTCGCACTTGTATTATGATTTATTAACAGTTTTTTTCGTGTAAGAAGGTAGTTAAAACTTGCTACCTAGGCCAAACTTTGCTAGAGGATGATTATGGTATCCATCAAAGTTTTTTCAATCATACATTTATTTGAAATATATAATGACATAGTAGGGGTGTACATAGTTTTTTCATTTAACTTGCTAGCTTAGTGTTAAAACAGATTAATCCAAATAACAAATTTACGTTGTTCATTGTTACACTTTGAAATATTAAATGAGTTGTAGTACATTTGTATCAGCAACTTACACCGGAAATGAGGAAATTAAAAAACTGCGTTAATTTGCCTAAACAAACTGCAGATGCTTTGATTCTTTTGTTAACCTTTCCATTGCCAATATGGCGATCCATAAAAAGCAATGACAACATAAAATTTTGCAATAATTTCTTTCCAAACTATTTTGTAGAGCTTAATAACAAATTATTTAGTATATTGAAGCATTATTATGCGCCTAATGGTTACGGAGAAAACTCAAACCGTTTTAAATTTAAAATCCCAATGATATTCTTATGGCGAATAAGTAAACTGTTGTAGTTAGCTTGTTTATGAACATCTTTTGATCAAAATTTGAAAATGCATTTATTTCATATTAAACTACCTACATGTAATAATATTTAAAAAAAACCCTTTAAAACCCTCCCTGTTACAACATACCTAAGTACTTGTTAAACTAATGCTATATTGAAATAGGGAATAATATTGTGATATTTTAAGGAGATAGTGTAAATCCAATCAAGCAAATGGAAATTCGTTTAGTCTGCAGGTTTGCTGCGGGGGGTATTTAAAATAAATCATAGAGTTGTTACAGTGTTTACAAACACACATCAGAACCACCTGTAAACTGTAATGGCTGCTTAAGAAACTTAAACACCTTATCTAAATGCAGTAGGTATAAAGAAATAGTATATGCCTACTGTATTAGGTTACTAGCCAGGTAAGCGGTAAGGTGTTTATAGAAGGCGTAGCCGAGTACGGGATTTTCGTGCGACACAATTTATTTAGGACAGAACATAAATTAGATTTTTTTTCTGAAAATAAAATAGTCCGCTGAAATTAGCTGTTTATTTCAACAGCTGACTAAGTACACTGTAATAGTATATTACGTTACTAGTCCTGAAAATAAGTGTGTTTACCGGACGAGTGTGGTCGTTCTCGTGCGAGACGAAGTCGAGTACGGGATTACCATACGAGTCCGGTACACACATTTTGGACGAGTTACGTACGTTAGTTTACGCCATACTAATAAATCTGTACAAATCCTTATATATTCCCACCAACTAAAGGACTAAAAATCACTACTCATTACGTTTTTGTTTATAACCATTCATTGCCACCTAAATACAGTATAATCAGCTGATTGGTGTCCGGTAACACTCATTACAGTATAGTAGTACAGTACGCAATGAAACCCCAATTGAATAAGCTGGCGGCAAACAGCTGTTTTCTGGACTAAATCCTTGCGTGGGAAGTTCGTCAAAATAATGTAGTGTGGCGTAAAAGTACATTACTACTTTTCCGTGTTTAGGCATGGCAAAGGGTAACTTCCCATCCTATGGATGGAATAGGAAAAGTACCTGTTTCTGTGTAGTAAGATGTAAAGAATTTTATTGCACACAAGGTTAGGTGTTAAAATTAAGTTTTTAATCTTAGATCCATAACAGGCCTAGATTTTTAAACTTGCAACTCTAACCACGTTCTCCTCCCGTTGTGAAGCTCGGTTACTATATAGACATACCACGAACAAAACAACCTGCTTAATAGCATCTCGTAT